GAATATAATAAGTTCGGTTTCAAGGAATTTGTAAATTTGGGGAAGAACTTTGAAGTTTGACCCCCAAGTCGAATTTATTCGCTCTAATAGAAACTCAATTATACGTTCACTATGAGCTCATGATCTCGGTTCCTTTAAAAGCTATCAACAATGTTTGGGGGGGGGGGGTAACTTGACACCCCAAGTACCTTCCCCGTACAAGATTAGCCGCCAAGAGCTGTTGATCAAACAAAAACAATTGGTTACTTCAAACAAAAACAATTGGTTATTTTTGCAGATTCCTACACACTTGATGAGCAACGATTTGGTGGGACTTGCTCTCGAGAATAAGAACTTGGGATGAGCAATTGTGGGGACGAAGGAGGACACATATTGAACACAAATTTGATCTGATTGCTTTTTCAATGAATTTTATAAATACACATCTTTAATGAAGAATGACTATTACTGTAGAGGAAAATTCGAGAATTTATGCGAAACTTGAAACATAGAAAGTTTCAAAAGTATATGTTTCACGATGTCTTAAATATTGGGTAATTGAGAAAAGAAGAATTTTGACAGTTTTCAAAACTCGTTTGAATGGGATACTCGAAAATGAATGGGATACTCGAAAATCGTCAGGTGTTTATTTCCGTATTTCCTATAATAGAAGCCCACCCCAATCGTCCACTTTGAACTCGATTATCTCAATTTCCATATGCGATATCAAAAGTTTATCAACTGATAAAATATTGGTGATATTATGATGAATTATTTATCAGTTGACAAAATTTTGTTATCTTTCAAAGGAAGCGAGATAATTGAGCTCAAAGTTGACAGTTTCCGTGGGATTCTATTAGAAGAACTACGGTAGTCCCTAATTTTGCACGGAGAGTAAGCTTTTCCTTAAATTGTGATCTGTAGTTTTCATATTTTTTTCATCTTTTCGTTTTTTTTAAATTTATTTTTCAAGCTCATAACAAATCCATCAATCCCATAATCACTCATCCGGAACTCCTCAGAAAAACGTTGCTAGTCTACATACTCATATTTTCACAAAATGAAAAGATGAAATCACTGCTGACTCTGTTTTTGGTTTTTGATTTTTTGGTAAGTTTCAGATGAAAAAAATTCTATCAGATCTATTTTTTCAGACTTCCGGCACTCATGTGATGATCGAAGTTTGGGGGAAACCAAACTCTTTGAAGAATGCTAAAAATCTGGGAAATATTACATGGAACAGTTGTATGATGGCGTGTCATGGTTCAGAAGTGTGTATTGTAAGTTATAAAGTGAATCCTGTAATAGAATGACTCACACTGTCCAGTTTGAGCTAATTTTGTCTTGGTTCCTATGCAAGATGTCAAAAATGTGTCATCTCATGAAATGTTTGTAATGTCCTGATAAACGATTCACCAGTTGACTACTTTTTCATATCTTTGACAGGAACCAAAGAAGTTAGGAGCCCTTCTATTACAGGTTTTACTGTAAAAGTTTTAGATAGCTCACCTACGAAGCCAGGCTTGTTATCTCTATAATGAGGTAGCAATGGGTACAGTAAACCGCACTAAGCCACAGAACATGGTAGTAGCTTTCAAAGCAAATGCAACAAATGCAAATGGAGAATGTTTTGATGTGGAGCCTATTGAAATTAGTGTGAGTCCTGAAATCTTCGGGGATAAAGTGAGAAAAGTTTTCAGGGGGCCATATTTCATTATAAGAACACTTCTGAGAATCCCAAATGGATTCATTATACAATTAGTTTATCTGGAAACCAGTGGAAAGTCGTGTATCGATGTAAGTTAGAAAATAACCAGTTGTTGAGAAAAAGTTTTAGAGGAATGAGTCAATTTTTGCAAATTAAATTAGTCACTATGGAACGGTGAAAAAAATTAAAGGAGGACTCCGACCAGAACTCGAAAATGTGAGAAAAAATCTCAAATGTTATTCAAACTTCGTAACTTCAAATTTCAAATAATTCAAGACATTCATAAATTCGTTGAATTCTTAGAAATTGAAAAATTGAAAAAGTTCAAAAAATTTTTCCGAAAATCAGAAATTTGCGGAAATTCTGAGACTCAAAAATTTAGAGAATAATTTCAAATTCAAAATTTTAAAAGTCTGAAATAAAAAAGACAACATCATTCTCAAGAAAAACTTTTTCAGTGAAGACGATTTCAATTTCGATGAAGTCAGAATTGTCAGTAAGCTCTCGAGACGTCGTCAAAAATGTCAAGTCTATTGGTCAGTTGGCAACTTTTGGTCCACGATCCAACGACAGAGATAAAAGGAGGATTTACAAAAGTGTGTACCGTGACGACTGCTGACAATCGTATCGAAGCAGGCACGACCTTGGTACTTTCAAGATCATGCTTCATCAAACCGATGTCT